AAAAACAAATTGAGGGGGGGAAATGATGGTTCTGAAACAGAGCAAGGACCTTCCCTTCCCTCCCCATCCCAAGGCAGGCTCCTGGAGCAGGAGCTGCATGCAAATGAGCTGCTAATTGCTCCTGCTCCTCAATTTCAGTTAGTCCAGAGCAAAATTTTTATTTATTTATTTTGAAATGCTACCATGACTTTGGATGTTCTCAGCCACAGCAGTGCCCTATCCACTTGGGACCTCCCACAAAGTCTTTGATCTCAGGGATATCCCATGGCTGGAGGTTAATTTGAGCTCCTTTTATCCCCTGAGAATTCAGTCTTTCAGCCTCAGGAGGTGTCCTGCATTAAGAGGGGTGAAAAAAGAGCATTTCATTCTCATTTCTGTTTTATTCATACTCATTATATGGATATATTTTATATATATATAAAATATAAAGTAATAGGATATTCAGGATATTCAATATACAGGATATTCAATATAGAATATGTTATTATCTAAGTCACATTCCCTCTTTAAGCTAAATAATTGTATTTATTTGTCTTGATTCCTCCTCTGAGGGTGGGGATTCTCAACCCTTTACTCAAAATTATCACTGAATTTGCAGCATTTGTTTGTATTCCTTCCTTTCCCAAATCTCTGCTCCAGTGTTTGACTGCCATCATTTGGAGCAGGGATTTTGAAAAAGACTTTAATACTGATCCTTGCTACCACCATTATTTCAGGACAAATCTTTTATCTCAGGATTTTACCTTTTTTTGTTGTGTTGGATTTTTTTGAGTGACTCATTACATCCAATCATGTTTCACTGACATTTTTATAAATAGTTTTCTCACCAGGTGTCTCTACAAATTTCTTGCTATAATTCCTCAGTCTCTGGGGCTGCCTCTTCATTTTCCCTGAGCTGTTCCTTTGCAAGGAATTGGGCTGAACATCCCAGTTTTCCTTCAGAACACGACACAAGTCACAATTTGTGCAGTGCTTGAGAGCAGTGCCATGAATTTAAACCAGGAGGAAACCCCTTTCTTTTCATCCCCTTTGATCTAAACATCAATATTCCTGTTTATGACAACATTTTCTGATCTGCTTCCATGGCAGAGAGCTTTTAGCTCAGCGTGAGCGTGGATAAATCAGCATCCTGCCAGTGTGTGAGCTTAGTGAAGGGCTCTATTCCCAATCCTGGTGTTATATTGGGCAAAACCCCAGCTGGGGGGAAAAAAATCAGTGTTTTCCCTATGGAACAGCCTTGTAAAATGTGAGGATGAAACCAAGTGGGTGTAACTGATCCCCCACTAAAGCTCAGAGGGATTTGCTTAATGGTTAAGATTTTCCTCCTGAGATTTGGGGCCAACTTTTCTGGCAGGGCTGGGAGCTTTTCCAGCTGTTTGTTAACATAAATATCCCCCTTATTTCCATGTTCTGGCTCAGAATAGCCACGGGACTGGTTGGATGCAATCCTGTTTGGGGTTTGTTTGCTTGGTTCCCCAGGGACAGGAGGGCAAAGCCTCCCCCAGGACCAGCCCAGGGCTGCTCTGACCTGGGGATTCAGGAGATCTTTGTGCTCATCAGCAGGGTGAAAAGGCAGCTTGTACAAGAGAATCAATCTGTTCCACTGGGTGTCAGCTAAATCCCTCTCAGGGGGAAAGGACAAAACCACAGGGAGAAATCCCCTTTTCCTGCCTGGCAGAAATCCTATACATGCTCTGAGGGAAAGAACAAATGTGCAGCAATACTGAAAACAGCTGAAAATAGGAAAAAGAAAAGAGCTGTCCTGAAGCTGTCCCCATTCCCCCTTTGTTATCTCCTTAACTTTGCTTATTTAAAGCCACACCAGATATCCCACAGGAAAAAATGGATAAAACCAGGATCAAGCCCTGGATGTGTTTTAGCCATGCTGTTAAATGGTTGTCACTGATTCACAGGGGTACTCTGTGCTTTATTTGGCAGTGAGATGCTGCTTTGGTGCTCAAAGACTGCAAGACAAGAGGAATTTGGGTTTTTTTTGCTGGGTAAAACTTGTTACTGAGGCATCACCTTGATCTCACACGGGGCTGCTCCCAAAAAATGATGTGGCTGTAGATGTCCAAGAGAAGCAGCTGCCAACACCAAGTTACAGCTCTGGATTTGGAGTAGCTCTGGATTTAACTGGCACACAACTCATGGGCATGGATTTTTGGGGTAAAGCTCCCATTTTTCCTCTTCTTTGGAATCTTTGGGCAGTCATCCCTCATGGGCAGCTTGGAAAAAACACTCCCAGAGGATCCAGAGCAGCAGCATCACAGAATTCTCCACAGCTTCACATTCCTTGGCCAGCTTAGGAGACACCTGAGGCCACCAAGCTGACACAGCAGTCACAGGGCTCCTTCCACCTCCTCAGGTACCCAGGATAATTCATTAACAAAACATCCTCAGCACCTGGTTTGCCAGCAGGGCTTTGCTGGAGATAAATTGACCTGTGAAACTCCAGCCCAGCTCATGCTCATAAATCTCTGAGATTGTGAGAATGTATTTTTCTGAGGGTTTCTTGTAGGGTTATCTCCTCTGTGGTGAGGCTGAGGAGAGAACAGGTCTCACACACTGGCAGTGAGATCAAACCACCCTGGAGGTGTCTGTTTTTCCTGTGCTAAGGGGTCTCAGTTTCCCACCTGTGCAGCTGAGAGGACAAAAATCCTGTCCTGCTGCTCAAAGAGCTTCCTAGTGGGAAATGTCACACAGCAATTGCTGCCTGTCTAATCAAGGGCATCCTCACCCTTTTGAAACCAGCAGGAAAGGCTCTGAAAAGCCAGGATAACTTCTTTATTCCAGGAGTGGTAGAAATGAACTTGGCACTCCTGAAGGATGGGGTTTGAGTGTGGGCTCCTCATGAAACAGCCTTGGAATGTCTCAGTGACCCCCAGCAGCACAGACACCCTAGAGAAGAGCTGCTGGACGTCCTCTGTGGGACAATACCCTTTTCCTAACCCACAGATGGGGCAACTGAGAGGTGTTTTAAAAACTCTTATTCCATTTTCAGTCTCATGTGAAGGGTGAGACAATACAAGTGTTATAATTCACGCCATCACAATCAGAAGCCAACTATTTTTTAGTTACAATACATTATAAGTGTTTCTTATATCAGCTTTTTGCCACACCATGCCTTAAAGCCAATCATCTAAAACTACCCCTCGTGGGTGCCACTACAATGCATCTTTCACAGTTCTATTTCTCTAAAGTATCCAGATTTATTTGCAAGGCCATCTTTTGAAACTTGTTTCTACTTGTGTTTCTCTCTCAACAATATCTGTCCTATTCCATGGCATTTCTAAGTCAGCATTTCTTACCTCAAGGTCTGCACACAGATGCACACTGTGTGAGCCTTCTGCCAGGCCCTGAGAACTCCCTACAAATCCATTTCCCACAGTCCCATCAATCCCAGCTGAAATCCTCCACGAAACCTCTCCAAAACTCCTTGTTGGACAATACCTTTTCCTGCCCCAGAGATGGGGCAACTGAGAGGCATTTTGAAAACTTTTATTCCATTTTTAGTTTCATGAGAAGGATGAGACAATACAGATGTTATAAGTCATGCTATCACAACTAGAAGCCAACTATTTCCTAATTATAAAATTATAAATTATAATACATTATATAACTTTCTACAAATCCACTTCCCACAACTCCTGTCCTTGCCTGTGGGTTCTCTGTATTTGTTTTCTACCACTGTCAAGGTCTGGGTTGAGGGCATTTGAGGTGGTATTTCATGTTGGGGCTCAGGTGTTTATTATTTCCTACCAGTGAAGCAGCCTCACAGCCATGAGTTCTGCAGCCTTTCATAAGCAAGGCACAAAATGGCCAACAATCTCTTGTTACAAGGTCTTTTAAGACTAAACTATCCAGTTAAGAACTGACACCTAGATTATTTCCCTTTTAACCCAATAACTGATCCCTGGAAGCCTGCAGTGTGGACTGTTCTGTCCAATTACAAAACTCACGAAGAAGAAGGAAGAAGAAGGTAAAGAAGAACAACCTGCCTCCACTCTAAAACCTCCATCTTGCTTCATATTTATTTCTATATTCTAAAACCCCAAACTCTTAAGTTTTCCACCCTGTGATACTACCCACTTGTAACCAACTCCACACCCGTAATCCCAGTGCTATCAATAAATTGTGGAAGCCTTCTCCACAGCCTCAGGTCACTTGCAGTGTTCTCTGTGCCTTTCAGCACAGAAAGTTGAAAACTCTCAGCATCCAGTGTAGGAGTGATGGGGGTAGGATGGTCAGAGGGCTGAAAAATCACCAACAGCAAAATGGTTTGAAGAATGGATGTGACACCAGAGTGAGGGGACAGCTCTGAGCTGGGAACTTGGGGTTTATTGCCAAGGGCTGGGTGCAGGGGCCCTGCTGGGAGCTGCCAGCCACAGCTCAGAGCAGGCCCCAAAGAGGGAGAGAGGAGAAGAGAGTGGTAGAGGAAGACAAGATGTGGTAAAGAGGATGAGAGAGACCATGAAAGAGTAACAGAGACCAAAGTTCCCATTACAATACAACAAATCTTCTGTGCTGAATATTCTAATTCTCACTAACCAATCTAATACAAGATACAAATCCTGTAGCATTTACATACAGCCTATAAGAATCATTACATTACCATACTGTGTTACATTTTAAACCCTAAAAACTGCTCTTTGGACCCCTTCTGCCAAGCTAGTAGGGTCTGCTCTGACCCTTGGGCCTGTCTGCAAGCAGAGGGGATTGTTCCATCAAAAGGGGATTACCTTCAGCCAGCCATGCAATTGCTTTCCAGTTGTTCAGTAACTAAGGTATCTCAAAGCTTGCTTTCATTTCAATCTCACTTATGGTTTCCATATTCAATATTCCATATTCCTGGCAAAATCTTTTGCCAGGCAATCATATTTATAAGGCTTTCCTGTTTCATCTGCCCCAACATCCAGCCTTCCAACACTTGCCCTCTCAGCAACTTGCCCCCAAACAGAGCCACCCCCCATTAACCCCATCCTCACCTCCCCCCACAGCTTGAAGGCCGTGCTGATGGGGAAGCCCCAAGACAACACCGTGGACTTGTCAGGCATCCCCCTGACCTTGAAGGACCTGGAGAGGGTCACGTCCTACCTGGAGCACAGCTCGGAGCACATCGACACGGTGGAGCTGTGCTTCACCGAGCTGACGGACGAGATGCTGCTGCAGCTGCTGCCCGCGCTCTGCGGCCTGCCCCGCCTCACCACGCTGGCCCTCAACGGCAACCGCCTCACCAAGGCCATCCTCAGGGACCTCACCGAGACCCTCAAGGACCCCAAGAAGTTCCCCAGCGTCACCTGGATCGATCTGGGTAACAACGTGGATATTTTCTCGCTGCCGCAACCCTTCCTGGTCAGCCTGAAGAGGCGCTGCCCCAAGCAGGGGAATTTGCCGACCATCCTGGAGTTTGGGGAGGGGCAGCTCAGTGATTTGGAGGGGCAGGAGGGGCTAGGGGACAGCCAGGAGGAGCTGAGGGCTGGGCCAGGCCGGGCTGGCAGCACGGGCTGGGAGCAGATGGACAGAACAGCCGAGGCTGGGGAGCTGCCTGGCCCAGAGCAAGGTGCTGCCACACCACAGACATGATGCCAGCCCTTGGGGGGCACCTTGAGCAAGGATGACTTAAAACCTCAGAGCTGGGGGGGTCTGTTCCCACTCCTGGGTGCTCCAGGAGTCCCAGCTGCTGCCTTCCCCCTGTGCCACGAGCGTCAGTGATTTTCTTCTCGAAGAACACATAAAAGTGATCACGTAGAGTGTTTGTATTTTCTAACAGCTGGCCAGGTGTTTTGAAGCATTAGTGGTGTGCTGTGCTTTTGGCTCTCTCAGAAATGCATCTCCAAGGGGCTGCAAAACCTCAGAAGGGCAAGAAAAGGGAGCAGGCTGCGCAGGGAAGGGCTCCCATTCCTCAGTGCTGGGTCTCAGCTGCTCCCCACGTGGGATGGACGGACAGCAGCCACCCCAAAGGGACTTGCCTGGGATAAACCTTCAATCCTTCCCACTCCTGACTTCAGGAATCACTGGTGAGAGGCATGGCTGCTGAGACACAACAAGAACCTCACACAATAACCAGAGCTCAAAAATCTGCTCACGCACCAAGCAGGGGTGTTCCTCTCAGTACTGTGAGCCCAGCCCAGAGGGAGAGCTTTGTTTTCCTGGGCAGGGTTAAATCCCAGCCTGCAGCGTGCCTGGACACCACCCTCACCTCCAGCCTTACCAAAACCAGGCTGGCACCTGTGCCTGCCCAGGATTTGTCCAGTAAAACCCAGTTTCCCACCAGCTGTAAGAACTCCTGAGCTTTTGATGGGAGCATCTGATCCATTCTGGGAGGGACACACAAATCCTGGAGTCAGGGCTCAGGAGCATCACTGACAAAAGAGACCACGGTACTGAAGGGTTAAAAAGGTCAAACAAGCGTGGGGTTCATCCCCTCTGTCACTGCCACACAGCCAGCTGGGACTTAAAGCCCCAGAAAACCTTGGGCTCCCTTGGCCATGGCTGTTGTCCCCTGGACCAGAAGTGCTTTGTTCCTGAAAGGTTCCAGTTTTTTCTAAGCCAGGATTTTGGGTTCATTTTCAGTGGGAAATGGATCAGCCCAGAGCAGCAGTGCTGCAATGTGCACTTTGGCTTTTTGGAACCAGAATTTCATCGGATCCCAAATCTGGGGGAGGGCAGGAAAGTGGGGAAAGCTTCCTCTCCTTCGTGTTCCACGGAGCAGAGCTGACTCCCTTTGCAGAGGGAGCCTCTTTGCCCCAAGCCCTTCTCTGAGCAGCTCCCAGCAGTGACTCCAGCTTGGCTTTTTTTGGGTGCAAACAGACTTTTGGTCCCATTGACTCTGTCCATTTTTCCAGAGGGGCTTCAGGCTGCCACTGGTTGCTTGTCCTCCATTTGCAAGAAGGTAACTTAGAAAAAACTCTGCTACTTTTATTACATTTGGCAACAGTCAGTATGATTTGCATGTATCCAAGCCTTTTTTCCTTATTGGTTTGTTTTTTTTTTTTAATTCTAACTCTTTCCAACAGGCATGAAAAAAAAAACCCAACAACTTTCCAGTGAATATGGAATATTTCTGTTTGAAATAAAGGAGCTATCCATAAACAAAATAAATGATAATGTTTAATAAAGACCCAGTGTTGAATTTTCCCTCTGTCCAGGTTGAATGCCCAGGAAAAAGCAGAGGACAAGGCAGTGCTGAGAGCTGCTGCTCTGGCTTCTTCAGGAGGCTGAGAAATAAAGAGCTCAGTTCATGGGCTGGATTTATCAGGGTGGGCATAAGGTGGACACAGAAGCATCATAAAAGAATCTTTTAAATTTTAAATATTACCAAAATAAAATAACGTGGGAGAAAGGAAGGCTGAGAGTGGGGTAGTGCTCCACAGGGTGTTTATTATCTCCTGAAGGATGAAAGGCTGTTTATTGCAGCAGGGGCTCTGTCCCAGCAACAAACCGTGGGGGCCAAGGAGTTGGGGGAACATAGGGGGATTTAATTCAGAACAAGATTTCTCTTTGCAGAAAAAAAGAAAAACTGCAGCAATTCCTTCTTTCTACCCAGGAACCTCAGTGCTGGGCTCTGCTCCTCATGCACAGCTCAAGCCCCTCTGCCTGTTTAAATTATTTCAATCACAAGCTCCTTGCTGCAAGGTTTTTATTCCCTGCTAAGTATTTGCACAGGACCTGGGGCCTGAGGAGCTGCCTGGACCCCCCAGTTCACAAATTCACAAACCAGAGGCACTTTGCATTTAGAGCAAGCTCTGCATCCTTTATTCCTGCTTTGCTCCATTCCCTCACAGACAAAATCCACCCAGGAGCTGCTCCTGCCACATTTCCCTTCCAGCTCAGCTTCCACCTGCTGGGAAACACATCAGCCATGGAGAAATAATTTCAGTATCTCCAAAGGGAGATCCCACAGCCTTTGCCCTGTGCAGGTGTTGCAGTGCTTGAGCCACCTCTGCTCCACTGGCACTGATAACATCCCAGTGCCCAGTGAGGATTTAGCCCTTCTGAGACAGAGAAAGAGCTGGAAAGGGATTTTTGTCAATATATCCGTGCATGCTGGAGGATGCACCAAATTACTTCCATGGAAAAAGGGGGAAAAAAGCAGAGCTGTTGTAGAGAGTTGGTTATAAAAGCTTTGGCTCATCAGTGCCTCCCTCACAGTGTGGATTAGCTCAATTATCCACTTAGTGCACTTCAGGATAATGATGATCCTGTGGGCTCAGCACAGAGTGGGGTTTGCTTGGGGTTTTTTTTGTTGTTTTTTTTTTTTTTAAAGAAAGCAGAGTGAGAGCTTCCCTTCCCAGCTCATCCACATCAAAACAAGCTCAGGGCTCACGCCACATATAATCAATGTTCCCTGGGCTACTCTGGGCTGCTGCTTTGGGTCAGAAGCTTTTAACTGGCCTTACATGAAGGATTCAACCACTGGAAATCGCTGCTGTTAGAATATTAAAACAGAATGAGGTCATTTCTTGTCCAGGAGAGGAGGAAAGGGCCACCATAAAATAAATAAAGCATAAAAAGCCTCAGCCTGGCTTGGTTGGTTCTGTACCCAGCAGCACCACAGCTCTGCCTGGGCATCAAGCAAAGCAGTCTGGGGAGGAGATTTATGGCCTCAGCAACAAAAATGTAATTGGAAATCATTCTGTGCAGATTGAGGAGCCCACAGCGAGGGGAATGGAAACAGCAGGCAGGGAATGGGGTGAGAGAGGGGTGAGAGGGCCATGAAAGGGCTGGTGCCACGCTCTGGAGAGCTCCTGCCAGCTGGGTGAGCTGGGGAGGGTTTGCACCAGGGCTGGCTGTGTTTTGAAGGTGGTTATTCATTTAAAATGAGAGTTCCTTTGCCAGAGGATGGTTGGGAGCAGGAAAGAGGCTGGGAAAAGTCACCCCTGAGCAGGGAGTGTGTGGGAGAGCAGAGGGAGACACAAAAATGCTGCTGGGGATGTCCAGAAGCACAAAATACTTAGGCCAAAAGCATTGCTGCTGCTCAGGGGCAGAAGTCAGCAGATGTCAACCCAAAATTGCCCAGACACAACCTTTGCCAGAGGAAGAGCCAAAAAGTGACCTAAAGGATCAAGGGGACACCACGGGAGGTGGCTGAGGCTGCCCCAGGCAGTGCCACCAGCTGGGTTATCCCACTAGAACTGCCTTTGGAGAGGGGCAAAACCCCTGCAGGGCTCCCCTGTGTCCATCACCCCTGTTCCAGCAGCAGCAGGAGGCTGTGAGCTCATGCTCAGGACCACTCATGTCCTGGAAGCACAAAGGCTCCCCTGCTCCATTGGCTGGGATCTGCCATTGCCAAGGAAACTAATTGACCTTATTAGCAGAATTCACATACCAAAGCTTAGGGGAAAAGGGGTGAAGACAACTGACCTAAACTCTGCAGTGAAATGTTCCTTGGTGAGCAACAGATGAAATCTCCTCCAGACCTCTCTGGTACAAGGATGTCATCCTTGATCCCACTTTTCCTCCACTCCAAGGGCAGTGGGGTTTTTCTGTGCCTGGGGATGATTTCCACCAGCAGGCTGTGAGAGGAGAGGAGCTTTCCAGCTCCATGAAATGTCTGTAACAGGAAATTCTGAAGGACAGAGCCATCCCTCACAGAGCTCTGGCTGCCTCCAGCCAGGCTCCAGCCTCAATTCCTAGGGAGGGCCCAGCTCCAGGCACATTAATATTAATTAATTATCATGAATAAATAGATGGATATGCCCAGGCTGGACAGGACTTGGAACAACCTGGATTAGTGGGAGGTGTTCCTGCCCACAGCAGAATGTTGGAATGAAATGGGCTTTAATTCCCCTCCAACCCAAACCATCCTGGGATCTGTTTCTATAAAATGTTAGCACAGGGTTTGTTCTCAAGGAGGAGCACAAGAGCTTTGCTCACTGCAGGAATCCTGGATCCCAAGCTGGCACTGCAGGAGAGGTATTTGGGAATAAAGTGTCATTTCTGATGTGCTCCATCAGCCCATGGCCCAGTTACCCCTGAAGGATGGGGAACTGGAGGTGCTTTGTTTGCATTCCCTTCTGGCAGTTCTGGGCCTGCATTTTTTATCCCCCTATTTTTATCCCCCTATTTTTTATCCCCCTCTGTAAATACATAGAGACACAGCTGGTTTTACCTCCAGCTCAGCTGATGGTTTTACATAAAACTGAAGACCTGATTTAATAGAGTCAGAAAAGATGCAACCTCTTCACCACAGCCTTTAATTATGTGAGCAGTTTGCTGAGTTTTCTTGGCTCCTAATAGCTTATTGATCCTGTGGCTTCTGGGCCATCTTTTTTCTTTGCTGTTTTATTAACTCAGTCTGAGGAGAAAATAAACCTGTGGGCTGGTTTGCATCCAGCAGGTTGGGATGAGCAATCCCAGCCTTCAGTGAGTGCACGTGGCAGCTCTCGGGGAGCTGTTATTGGAAGGACAAATAGACTGGAGGTTTACAAAAGAGGAGAGAAATATTAATATTTAATTCACTGGAGGTTTGGCCTGGGCATTTATCACTGGATTTTCAAGGTGTGTGATGTAAAACCACTTTATTCCTGGCTCTCCCTGTCAGCTCTGTCCTTCTCCAGGGAAAGCAGGGTTCCTCTGGCTCTGGGCAAGGCTTTGGGGAGGTGCTTTGTGGTCAGGATTTTGCAAGCAGCACTCACAACCATCCTAAACAATAACCTACATAATTAAAACCTCAAAGCATCTTACTACAGGCCCAAATTCCTGGAATAGACATCCAGAGAGTCAGGGATGGATGGAACACTGTGGGATATTGGGCTGCAACAGATGTGGAAACCCAGCTGCATCACCCAGGAATGAGCTTCCCTTGGGCAGCTGCTCCTGGTCTGGCAACTCACTCAGGTAAGAGCTGCAATTCCAGCTCTTCCAGAAATGAAAACCAAGGCACTAAAGAATCAATCACACTCTGGTAGCTGCTGCCCCAGGGCTCTGGCTCCTGAGCCCACAGGATTCCACTGCTGGGGAGTTCTGCAGGTAGAGGAACAGGCAGAAAACCCCAGAGGTGGACAGGCTTCAAACACACAGAATAAAAGGCCTCTGCTTGGGGCTGTGTGCATTTACACATCACTTTCCAAGAGGAGAACTTCACCATTCCTTTTTTGTTGTTGTTTCATCTTCACTGTACCCACCTGCTTGTTAAATGATCAATTCCAAGGCTCAGGATTTTCCCAAGTTGTGCTTTCCTGCAGGCTCAGAGCTCCCCTCCACCACAGGCACAGAAACAGCAGAGCTGGGGGCTGAAATGCAAATATTGTCCTTTTTTCTGTGCCAGCCCCCAAAATGGGCTGAATTTCCAGGGCAGGGGCAGCCACCAGCCCAGAGCTGTCCCTTCACCCTGGTGTCACATCCATTCTTCAAACCATTTTGGTGTTGGTGATTTTTCAGCCCTGTTCTCCTCCCTGAAACCCTTCTTTTGCCTCAGCTTCAGCCTCTGACCTGTTGCCAGGTGACACCACGTTGTTGCTGTCATCTCCAAAGACCTTTCTGAAGCATAAAAGCAGCACCTTTGAAATCCCTGCCCTTGATGCAGCTCCTGTTTTGCATTTCCAAACAGCCTGGCCCTGACACTGAAGCTTTATTTCACCTCCTGCAAGCACAGAGCATTTTCCTCCAAACACAGCAGCAAACAGGCTGGTGGGGAGGTGCCTGGATAGATTAAATTAATTAAATTCAAAGTGCAGCTACCTTGGTGCAGGGGCTTCACATCACTGTGCATTTCACAGCTCCCACCTTTGAAACAATTCCATCATCTTCCCAGCAGGATCCCCTGGATTTCACTCAGCACAAAGGGTTTATTATTTACTGCCATGGATGAAAGGAACAGCATACCTGATTTGACACAGTTCAGGAAAATTGCTTTATCCAGTGGCTGAGCAGACCCTGTGCCTGCTCCCAGCAGGGCTCCCAGCCCCAGCTCCTGTCTGCACCGAGGGGCTGTGGAGCACTGCACACTGCTGCAGGATTATCAGATGGAGGCACAGATGGAAAACATTTCTGTTGGACATTTCAGCTGCTGCTGCTGCTGTGAGGGGCATTAAACAGCTCACAGATCACCTCAGCACCAGCACTGCTCTCGCTGTCTGATCAGGGCTGATAACCAAATTACCATTGGTGCCACTATTATCTTGACTCAGGTGTTTATTAATAAAGTTTCAGCTATCCAGGAAAATTTATTATTTTTTATTATGGCTGATAACCTCAGGCTTAGCTGGAAGTTTGTCTTTAATGTGCTGTTAAACTTCAAGCCTACTCCACTGTTCAGTGACAACAGCACCCAACAAACCCAAAGCCAACACTAACAAACCTTTAGGTGCAGTTTGCAAGTGCACAAAATAAACAAAAAACCAAGAAAGTCGAACCTAGAGTAACTATCCAACAGGATCTGAGAAAGCACGAGCAAGAAAGCAATCAAAAAATCTGGGAAATAAATCAAAATTGTAAAGAAAACCAAGGAGAGCCCAGCAGAAAGCCATAGGCAGCTTCAGAAACATCAATCATTATTTGTTTAGAGCTCGTGTTGCAGCTGGGCTGTGCAATGATTTTACCACAAACCATTACAACAACAACAACAACAAAAAAAAACTGCTATGGAAAAAATCCAAGTATTGACTTGCAAAAACTAACAGGAGTCTAACAAACAAAAGTCTTAATTATTGGAGATTAAACTTTTAACATCTTTATTTGATTAAAACAGCAGGGATTTGAAATCAGCCTCCACTGAGTGATTTTCTCATTTGCATTTTGTTCAGGTTTCAGTTCCACACAGGTGCTGGGCTGGGGGTGTTTATTGACTCAAATTCCACGTGGAGCAGGCACAGCCTGGCAGCTCCTGAGCTGCATGGGAGGGAAGGGCAATGGAGAGCAAATCATCCTTTATCAAACAAAAATAAGTTTTAACTCTTTGGCTCCTCATCACACTCAGAGCAGGAACACTTCGGGGTGGGACCATGAACTGCAAGTTTGCACAGCACCAAAAGCTCATCAAATGAGCCTTTGCTGGTCCAACACTGAGACACATTAATTAACAGCTAATTAAAGAGCGACATTATCACTGCGTGTGGGATTCTCTACATAGTAATGAAAGTTGCAAATCTTATTAGAAACAGGGAAGGAACCAGCATTAAAACGGAGTTTCCCCAAAGAAGAACCTCCAAGGCTGCAAAAATATTTTATTTCAAATGCTCTGAGCTTGGTCACTGCCCCACCTTGTGGGCTCACGTGTCAGGAGTAAAGCAGGACAGATGTTAGTGTGAATTGGAGCACAGGAGCAGAAAATGCTCAATGTTCTTTAAATAAGCTCTCCTTGCATGGCCTAAGTCAAATCCCACCTGCTCAACCCTCACCACGTTCAGCAGCTCTAGGATCAGCTCATAACAGTTGGGCTGAAACTGATTTCAAGTGTAAAATTAAGGCACTAAATGACATGAAGTGACAAAGAAGGGGAATGTTTGTCCTGGCAGAGCATTAAATGATGCATTAACCTTGTCCTTCTTCACAGGAACACGTGAAATGTGCTCCAGCTCTGGCAGCACAAGGTCAGAGGGGTGCCAGGAACACCCTGAGCCTGAGAAAGGCCAAAGTCCTCCTGGTTATTTTGAGTTTTTGCTCTGATCAGCTCAAGAGTTGCTGCCTGTGATATCTCAGAAATTGTAACAAAGCATTTGCCTTCCTTTAGCTGGGAGAAAACAAACCTGTGACACTTTTCTTGCAGCTCACCAGTGCTGGAAAACAGCAGCTCCTTTGTGCCTCACTTCTCTGAAAAGAAGAATTGGAAAATTAACAGCTCTTCCTCCTGCTCGGAGGGGAAAAGGAGTGAAGTGTCAATATTTAGGATTTCTTGCACTCTGAAAAGCTCAGACACACAGGATATCCCTTCCTCCCTTCTAATTAAGTAGCTACAGCCCAAACTGCCTCAGCTGGAACAGCAGCCACCAAGGCAAGAGAGCTCCTCTTTACATTGCCATTAATAGCTGGCATGTATTAATTACAGTAATTTATGGCTTTGCATGAGTGATTATGCTCATGCTGCTGCAGATATGAGTGCTTTACAATACTAATCAAGAAATGAGGATGATAACCAGCATTTATGTGAAATGTGAAGCTTGTGATTTACAGTGAGGCAGCTCTGCCCCTCTCCCCCCTCCTCAATTCCAGCCCCTCTCCAGCAGCTCCACAGCAGATTTTGGGGATAATCTCCATGTTTTCTCTCAAACACTGATTTGAGACGTGGCACTGCCATCTCTCTTATTGCTAAAGGCTGGCACTAAGCCATTCTTTGCTTTGCTGCATATTTTCATTCTTTCTGCTTTAATCTTTTCATCTATTTTAGATTTATGCAGGGTTGTTGGCTGCTGTTGAGCGCCAAAGGGATTCCTGCCAACTGTTCTTTCTAAACCTTTAGAAAACCCAAAATAATTGTGTTTTAAAACCAGATTTTTGTCTGCTGTTTATTCCCCAACACTAAGTTTTAAGTGCTCCAAATGTAATCAAAACAGAATGGTTTTATTTCCCTTCCCCTCAAGCACCATGAAATTATCTGTGCTCCCCTGGAAGATCACAGTAAAATGTTGAGGGCATTTGTTATGTTTGAAAGGCACCATTTTCTAACAGAAATAACACTTTTCCATTCATTAATCTCAGAAAAAAACCCAGTCTGCTGGAGGATCCCTGCTGAGGAACTTTGGTTCTGATTAGAACAATAAACAAGTGATGCTAAAATGAAACTCATGAATATTTATCTCCAACAGATACCACCAACTGCACCCTCAAAAAACCCAGGTAAATTCAGTATTTAAGTTTTCCCAGATCAACTTTGCTCTGTTTTAATGAGAGAATCCCAACACTAGAAAGCAAGAATTCTAAAACAAGTTGCAGCAAACCTTCCTTGAGCACATTAACCAGCTCATTAAACAATTTGCTGATTATTTCTGTTTGCTGAGGGCATGTGGCTGCTCTTACCTCCATGGTCTGCAGATTCACATTTAAAAAAAGGTGTATTCTTGTGCTTTTTAAGAGCTTTAAACCCATTTCTATTCCCAGTGCATGTTATAAGAAATGTCAACATGTTGTAATACACACGCTCTTAAAATGAGGCAAAAATAAGCTTTGTTTCATTGAACACTGGGAACAGAATGTAACTTTGCATTTTAATTAAGCAGTGGAGTAACCTGTTCTTCATAGTGTTCAAATCCTTTCAGATAAAGAGCAACTAATTCCAAACATGTTTTACCTACTCCATTGCCCAGGCTCAGTGTTTTTATTAAGGCCTGGATGTACTACAGCAACAATTCTAGGAAAAAAAAAAAGATGAATTTACCTGCATGTTGTAGAACCAGGAGATTTCTCTGAAAAACACTGAACCTGTTTTTCTAAACACTAAATTTAAGAGAAATTCCTGAAATTCAACATTTTGTGCAATTTGTACCTCAGGTAGCAGTCACCTGTGCTTGTGCAGGGACAGGGACACTGCCCTGGGATGCCACATGAGCAGCATGAAAATGCAGTACCTTTCAGTCAGAAAATGAAAATTAAAATTCAGATCTTCACCTGCACTCCACAGGGAAGGCAAAGCCAATCCACAGCTCTCCCACTTGGAGCTGTGCAGTGAACATTGTGATCCCCCCTTGGCAGTGACCACAGGCTCGGAGGAATTAGTTTAATTATTAATTAAATTTTACAGAAAGCAAAAAGCCTTTGCAAAAAGCACACCCTAAAATCCTCACTGCTGACACCAGGAGGGCAGAAGGCTCAGCACCATCAGTTTGGATGTTTGCAGCACTCCAGTGTTATAACCTGACAGTTGTACTGACATAATTAAGCTAATTGGGAGTTTTGGCCTCAAACACTGGGTTTCCACTCTTTTAAGCATCTTCAAGTTGCCAAGATTCCCCCTAACCCCTGAACTTTGCCTCTGCAGCAGACTTTACATTCAATTTTGAGATCAAAACGACAAATAGCAAGCCTGCAAACAAGCTACAGATGCAGCTGCATTTGCTGCTCTGGCTGTTAGTGCTGAAGGGCTGATCTCTGCAGTAATTAACTCTTGGTGTCTTGTGTAACTCTAATTACCACAATAACCCCACTGGCATGATCTGCAGTGAGCACTCTGCAGTCTGGGTACATCTTCTTCATCTCACAGCAAATCACAGCAGTGCCCAGGTTCCTTGATGCATGAAGCGACCAAACACGGTGGGGATTTTAAAAACTATTTTAATGTTCATGTAATAAACCACTTTAACTGTTAGCACTTTGGAACAGGCAGAAAATGTGCCTACACAAAATCCTCAAGGTGTTTTGTTGGAGTCCTTCTGCCTCAGAGATGTCTGCAGCAGCATCACCTGGAACACAGGAGCAGGGTCAGGTAACCAGCCTCAATCATCATTAGTGCATTTGTTAATGAGTCAGATATCATCAGAAGACCTTTTGCTCACCACCAGTCAATCTGCCGGTAATTCCAGCAAGTTTGGGTTAGTTTCATCACATGATATCACAGAAACTGACACTTGTGGCAGGAACACACTTTATCTCTGTCTACAGTGCAGAAACAGCTGCTCTCACACACTTACTGCCTGTATTTCAGTCCAAAGTTTGTTGTTTTGGGTTTTTTTTGGTTTTTTTTTGCCTAAGGGTTTAGAGCAGAAACTCTGCTCTAAATGTATAATTAAGTCTCTTTTTGAGACTGCAGCCAAAAGCCACCACATTCAGCTAGGAACACAATAAATATTCAACTCACCCAGCAGATTCTCCTGCTCTGTCTCAGTGCCCTCCACAGGACTTGAGCTGTCCCATCAGTGGGGGGACATCAACCACCAGCACGTGGCAGCACAGACCTGCAGGCTCTACCTAAATACATCAGAAAACAAAGATCAGGCTTAAAACTCTAAGGAACACAGACTCAAGCTCCTTCTACCCTATAAACCTCGTGCTGAATTTACATTTCACCTGGTACACAGCTCTGTGCAGTGCACTCAAACCCATCACTGACCTTCACATCAGGGCCAGCTCCCCAGCTGCTCCCAGCCCTGCGGTGTCACACCAGGTGGAAAGGCCAGCCCTGCAGAGAAGTGGGACACAGGGACAGGAAGGTGAGATGAGTTCATGGACACAAGCTGCCTGCTGAGCTCCAGAGGATGAATTTGGAGGTTGGAGCTGCTGTGTGTAGCTGCATTTCAGACCAGAACCAGGGTATCGTCAGTTCTCGCATCTGACGGCACTTCCTATTCAGGGTTATCATCATCAACAGCTGTTAATTAACTCCTCTAATTCATCACTCAAAACACCAGCTTTCACCTCATACAATCTCCCCTCTGCGTATGAAGTATGAACTCTTAACTTGTGAGTACATAAAACCAGTTTTATTTAGTTTTCATTTAACTTGAAGTGTTATTTTTACAGATTATCTTTGACTTGTAAAGGCCTGGAACCCCCTTTAACAACTCTGCACACCCTAATGTAAAAAGAAAAAATTTCACTTACTCTTTAGTTCAAGGCATCTTTCTGCTGTGGGAGTAAAAGCAAGAGAAGTGTTACTAGATTTAACAGAATAAAGAAGATTTATTCAGGGAAAAACAAGAACAAAACCAGACCCTCATGGCCAACTTGTTTGTGCTCCCACCCGTGTTTGCGTTTTTATGAATCACTGAAATATTTATATCAGACAGCTATTAGTACTCAGCAATCCTCTCTAAATTAACTGGAAATTTAGGAAATTCCAGTTTAGAAAAAAAGTTTTAAATTTTCCTGGAAATCAGGGAATTTAAACTAGGTAAACTTAAGACTAATGTAAGAATGCAGCTCACAAGGTTGCATTTACCAACAAGGCACTTTTCATACTGAAATGGCGAACACTCCAATGCTATGGGTGTAACTTTAAATTGCACAGAAAGGGTCTAGCACATGGAAAAATTTTAAAAAAGGGCTTTAATTGCTGATTTCTATGGCCGCAGCGCCACAAAAATCCACGGACAGCGCTGGATGCCGAGCACTCCCCGGAGCAGATCCCTGCACGGCCCTCACGGAGCCGCGGGCAGGGCAGGGCCGTGCCCCGCAGCGATGCCCCACGCACACAGCCCCGGCCCGGCCGAGCTCCTCCCGACTTACCGGGGAGGGGTTCCCGCGGTGCCGGCGGGGTCCCGGCGCTGCCGGCGGGGTCGCGGTGCCGGTGCCGCCTCCATGGTGGCCTGAAGGACAAGAGCCGTGAGCCGCCACGCGCCGCGAGGCCGCGCCCCCCCCGCCCCTGCAATGGCGCGGCCCGGCCCGCGCGGCCCAGGCAGGCCCGGCGGCCGCTACCACTGCCGAGCAAGGGGAGCGAGCGCTTCAGCTCACTCAGCGGTACGGCCGCTTCGCTCGGCAAGCCGGGCCTGCGCCTCCTCGCTGCCCGCACTGCAGGCCCCGAACACGGCCCTGATCCCAGCCCGGCCCGTTCTCACCTTATCCCCTCCAAAGGCACAAGACGAAAAGGCGCGACTCTTTTCGGCGGCCGCTTATAAAGCCTTGGACCGTACCACCCCCGCGGCGGGGGCGGGCTGTGCCACTGCTCCACAGGCGGGGGGCGCCGAGGCTTCCATTTCCTGCCGTGTGGGCCATGAGGGAACGGGGCGGGCGGAGCTGCGGGGATCGCTCAAAAACCCCAAAAAACCCCAAAACCCCCCAGATTTAGGCACCACCTCAGGGCAGGGACCGGTGACAGCCTCGGGCAGGGACTCTCATGTGGCCCCCGGCCGGGCACAGCCCCAGGGAGCACCGGCCCTGCCCTTTCCAGGAACACTGGAGAGGTCGAGTGATTTCAGGCCACTTTTATTTAGAACAGAACAGCTGTCTTTAAATAAAAGTTTCATTCTTTTCTCATTGTGTCATCTTGAACTGAAAATAGGGGTGTTTTGGTGTCCTTTCCTCTCTGTTAAGTGCATCAGCCATCGTTTTTAGAAGAAACACAAAAGCCACCTTTTCTTTAAAATTTCACCCTCAACACCACGTGTTCAGTCAGCCTGAAGAACTATTTATCAAAAATCCATTTTCCAAACAGCAAAAACTTCCTACAAAAAGGACTAGTGTGGTATTATAACAAATCACCTAAAATTCAGATCCTCCAGCAACAGCCAAAGCCAACATTCTCCTTTTTTTGCCATTTTCAACATAAACACATTTTAGTGAAATACACAGGTCCTGTCTCCCTATCAAACATCAATTTCTGCATCAAATTCTTGAAAGTGATGATAGCTGGGAGGTGAGTGAAAAATCACATTAGCTAAGGATTGAACAGCTGAACACAAACAAAAGGGAACCTGGAACAAAATTCTCTTTGCAATCTCTTGATCAAATGGATGGAAGTTAAAACACTGAGGAAAAAACATTGACTTAAAATTTAGAGTTCATTTTTAATTACCAAATCCCAGCACTTCTGGCTCGGGTAACTAAGGAAGCCCAAAACTGGAAAGAATTCCTGATACCAGCACTCTCCAAGGCTTCTCTGGACATTGTAAAAAAGCAAAACCAGGCACACTCAATTACAAAACCCTCTCTAAACAATAAACCTCATTTCTTCTTGCACCTAAGCTCCTGTGTGCTCACACATAAACCCACCCCAAAACCATAAAAGCACAGTCCTGACCGGCGTGGGGGAAATTTTAAGGCGTATTTCTGATAACCTGGAAGGCAGAAGCAAAATTAAGGGTCACAGGACTGTGCTTGATTTCACACATCTTTTATATCAGCCAGAGATCCTCTATTCCTATTCTCATCAGTTTATCCTTCACCTGGTTTAAATTCGGAATATTGACATGGAAATACCACACAAGGGCTCCCAATAATTCAGCTTTGGTGCATGAGGTGTTGATTCCTTTCAGGAAAAAGAAAGGTCCCAATGGATTCAAAGCAGTGACACAACACAAAGGTTTACTGGCAAAAAGACACCAGTGAAATAAATTTTATCAGGATCTGGAGAGATGGGAGTGATTCTCTGGGAAAGGATATCAGTGAAAGCACACGTTTAAAATGAGTTATTACAGTGATCAGACATTGCAGGCGTTTCTCTCAACATTACTTTTATGAGACATTTATATATTCAATAATTAAATATAAAATCAAGGATGAGTGTCACAAAACAAGGAAAGAGTAAGGCTTGAAGCCTGGTCAGCCCCCAGATTGCCCTTCAGTCACTGTGCCTGTCATTTGACCTTTCATTTGACATGCTGCTATCCTCGCACATCAAAAAGCATGAGAAAAGTTAATTTTGCAGATTCCTTGCTGAAATCTCAAACCTACTTCAACTTAGTAAAAAAAATAGGGGGGGCAAAAAAAAAAAAAACCCCAAACAAGAAAAATTTGCTTGTTAAAAAGCAGAAATGGGAAGAGAAGCTGACAGGTATTTTGGACTGACAGAACCAAGGAACAGGGACAATCCAAACAGATTTCAGACTGTTAAAATGGTTTTGCTACCTGTTTACCTGAATGTGATGTGCTGCATTATTCCTCACTCAGAATTACTGGCAACATGAAAAAAAAAAAAAAAAGAATAGCAGCTGCACACTGATCAAACCCTTGTCCTACCCAGGGAGGGGTGAAAATGTGCAGGTAAAAAAGCTGAATGGAACAAGTCACCCATGTCCACATTCACATGTAATATACAGGAAGAACATCCAAAATATTGACAGGAGACAGTGATCCTAAAGTTTTCCTTTTCTCTTTCACTTCTACACAGATAGAACAGCACAGAGGAGAACATCACTAGAGCTTTCACCGTGGCCAATGGGAAGACTCTCACAAATACAAAAATGCTTTCCAGCTGTTGGATTGCTTCAGGACATAATCCAGGTGGAATGACAGGAATATAATCTCTCCTTGTGGAACAACACCAAAAAAAAACCAACCCCCAAACCCTCAGGGGTTTACACAATTGTCAAACATCCAACTTTGCAGTCCTGAACATCTTAATCCCTGCTACAGCAGAATGTGGCACCACCAAAAGAAATGAGCAGGATTCCTTGGATTCTGGGGTGCCACTGGGATACATACATGGAATTTAACTGTAATAAAATGTGTAACTTGGATTTACATTCAGTGTGTTGGAGGAAGGGAGTGTGATAATCAATCCCTTCATGCTTTATCCTTGCTGGCTGCCCACCCAGGAAGCGTTATTGTTATTACTTCAAGAGGAAAGGAAAAGTGCTGGTAAGAGCCAGAAGGGCAAGGCAGTGATCTGGATCATGAAATAAATGCCCTGTTCTTTGGATGAAGTGTGAAAAACATTTTGTTAAAAGCCTCCATGATGAAAACATCAAGAACAGAAAAGGTCTCCTTAAAAATACAGAGCATTTCTGCCTCATCTTTTAAGTTCAAAGCTCGGGGGAGAAAATGTTTTGCTACAATTCACTACAGGTTTGCTGTCATAAACAGAGATGACAGTGCCCCACAGAGCACAGGGCCAGCCACAGAATCCAGACAAACGTCTTCGCTTCAGGTTTCAAGTGGTTTATGCCTCTCTTGTTGTAGAAAAGGAACAGAGACACTTCTGGAACCTTCACTGCAGAGTCTTTGCCAGTGTCCAGCTTTTGGGCAAGGGAGATCCTGCCAGGCTGCAGTCAGCACCTGGAGGGTCAGGCTGTGAGCCCATCATGATTCAGAGTCTGAGCCAGAGCTGCTTTCCCGGCTGATCTCGATTTGTAGGGAGGGTAAATGATCCAAGCGACTCTTTTTTTGCCTGGACTGTTCTTTTTCCTTAATGAGAGCACCCCAAACCCTCTGCAGCTCAGAGTCATCTTCCTCTGGAGATGCCACAGAGTTTTCAGCTTTCTCTGGAGTCTTTTCCTGTGTCTTCGGAGCAGACCCCAGTCTGGTCCATAAATTACCTAAGCAGATGAAAACAAACATTAAAAAAAGAACAAGACAGACAGGACTGAGAGGAAGAAGTCAAGGAACCAATTCTTAAACTCACAAACTCTTCAACCCTTCCTACTCCTCCCACCTCAATATTTGGCATGGAACTGATTATGCTTTGAAGAGTAATTGAAATTGAACTGCAGGAGGCTCAGGGCAGCCTTGTTCATTGTTCCCCATTTGCAGAGGATGTTTAATTCACACTTCCAGTGCCCCTGCATTCCTGACACTTCTTTTGGTGCCCACAGTTTGAAAGCAGTCCTTGATCTTCACCCCACCTCCATAAAAATACTGCTCCCAAACCCCCCAGGCTCCTCCCTACATGTACTTAAGATTTCAAAGCTCTGAACAAACATTTGCTAATTTATCCTGAATTTCATTCAACTGCTCCCCTTCATGGCTGTCTGCTGGGATTTCTCTTGGACTCCAAAACCAAAGGAAGTGCAGCAGAACATTTTCTGCAGACAACTAACCTGATTTCTTCTCTCTGGTGTCAGAGTAGAGGCCTTTCACGTCTTGTTTGGGGATTCCCAGCCTGCTGTGCACATCTGAGATTGGTTCTCGACGAGGAGCACACGTACTGCTTGGAGCTTTGATTTCTGGAGAGTGTGGCCTTTTTCCCAGTCTCTGCCTCACATCTGGGGATATTTTCAGTGATTAAAATGACAAAAATAAATCCTGTGGCCGTTACTCTACTCTGCCAGCTCAGTTTATGCTCATCCACTATTGAAACTAGACAGATTCTCTGCTTTTATCTTTTCTTCAGCCTGTTTATTTAAGTCTTTCAGACTTAAATACTCAGATTTCCTGGAAATTTCTGCAATACAATTTAGCCAGATTTCATTTCAGTTTTGGCAACAAAATTAACATTTCATGTTTTCAAGCTGTGTTCTGTCCAAAAGATCAAAACCTAAGTTACCCCATGGCCTGCTGCTTTTCTGGTGTAGCAGCAGAGTGTGTAAATATCCAGCAGGAGGGAAAAGTCCATGGAAACTGGTCTGCCTTCAACAACTCTTTTCAGGTAACAGATACCTTGATTTACAATTCTACCACTGCTTGGTATTTGGCAGAATAAAATAAAAAGAATACTAAAGATATTAATACTTAACCCTTGATGTGAATTTTGTATTCTGAAGTTTGCCTGGCTTAGCTGGATGTTCCCAATCATACAGGGGGTCCAGACAAAAATATGAAGGGAAAGGAAATTTTGGGACCATGTGTCAACTTGTCAGAGGCTCAAAACAGGCAGGAGAGGTAAAATATACAAATATAATTTTGACATTTCATTGATACAAAAAGGTATTTTTCACTTATGAGTCAGATAATATTACATATGTCAGAAGCAGCTGAAATTATATACATTTAAGTCGAATAAATAAGTTATTTAAGCTCAGAAATAAATCCTGCCGAATGAAAACCTCCCATCTTCATGCAATTCACATTTTTAATGTGTATTTGTAAGTGTAGTCAGTGTTTTACATTTGATTTTGTGCATGACCTTCCCTGTGTGCTGTTTCTCAGCTGCAGAGAATCTCTGCCTCAAGGAGGGAGCAAATCAAAAAGGACAAAGTGGGAGCAGATTGGCA